AGAACCTTCTCCTGAAATTCTTACCATATGAATATTGTTTCTTCCTGAACACTCCTTTAATTTTCTCTTGTTTTGACTCTCCTTTTCCATTATTTGGTTTTATTGTTCATTTTATTACTCTTCATTCTTTCAATGTCCTTAGATTTATCTTCTGAATATTTTATTTAATTTTTCACTTGTTACCTACATTTAATTTCCAGAAGCTCTTCTTGGTTCACTGAATGTTCTTGCTTTTTTTCAATTTGTTTTGTTATATAGCATACTATTCTTCTTCTAAACATGATACTCTTCTCATCTTCTCAACTACTATGTTACTAAAGATTACTAAATATATTACTATATTACTTCTCAACTACTATATTACTAATATGGATATTGCATGTTTTAAAACTGATTTCTTCTCCCAGAATCCTATGGCGGCACTTACATTTTCTCTGAATTCTTCTTTCCTAAATTTTTGCATGGCTGTCACTTAGTTCCTTCTTTTTCTTGTTAGGAATTTCCTTAAATGTCTAGTGATCACAGTTGCATGAACATATGTAGGCGTGAAGCGCTCAGAAGCTCCTCGGGACATGAGTGAACACAGAGACCTTATTTTCACGTCATACATACACACACAGACACTTGGGAAGAATGCTTCCTGCCCCGTGAGTGTCTACCAATCAGCCTTGTTGCAACAATCAGCCCAGCACTAAGGGGGTGCCCTGCTGGATGTTCCTGGATGGGCCCACCCCACCATCTGTGCCTCCAAGAGGCCTGAGCTGTCCCCCACCGCGAGTGGGCAGAGGAAAGAGTCTCTTGCGTTTCCTGTCCCCTAATTGCTTCAGTAACTCACTCTAACCTTCTCTGAAATGGCACTGAATCAGAGGATTTCTCTTCTGATGTTTTGTTCCCAAGGGGCATCATGGGTCACGAGTTTTTGCTGCAGGTTACTTTCCCTCCCTTTATACCTGGGCAGCCAGAGTGTTTATTTTGGCCAAATTTGCCAACTACTGGAGTAAATCTCTTTTCCCAAGATGGCAAAGGGACCAGCAATGAACATGTGGAAGGGTTCAGGGAATCTAACGATTTCTCTTGCAGACTTTCAACCGCTGTTCATATATTTAGTCCTATATATAACCTTACTTGTAGAGGCATATGATACCTCTATTCCTGTCACTTGAGTCTCCACTGCATAAAGCAGCCTGCTTCTGACTTGTTTCCTCTCCTTTCTCAGCTTAAATGTTACCTACTTTCTGTCTGTTAAGTCAGTTACCACCCATCCATCTGCTTTGTAGCTTCCACACTTGTATCAGTGTCACCTCATCTACCATCTCTTCTGTCCTGAGTGAAGTCTTTTTATTCACAACCTGTCAATATCCTACAGAGTCAGGAGGAAATGGAATGCATTTGTTGAATTGAAAGCTTTCAAATTCAGCTGGGAAAGGGTGCACCAAAGACATTATATAGTTATTTCCTATATTTACTCCCCCTTGTTACACAGATACAGGAAGACTGCAAGTATTTTAAAACTAAGTAACCACTTGAGAGTCCCACGCTTCACAGTTAAATATTTACAGAAACATAAGGTAGAATATGTTCAATTCCAGTCCACTTATTCATACATAGGTTTGGAACATCTAATGAGCCGACCTAATTAAGAAACTATTGCAATAATGTACAAGTGGACCCAGGAGAGTCATGTATGAATTAAGACAGTAACTGTGGAGAAGGAGGGGAGCAAATGAATTTCAAAACAAATATATGTTTTAAAGAGAAATATTTTACAAATTTTTGCAATCATTCGTCTGATCTATGACCATGAATCAGTTTGCTTTTTTGCTATTTAGTTGCTAGTCATGTATGACTCTTTTGTGGCCACATGGACTATAGCCTGCCAGGCTCCTTTGCCCATGGGATTTCCCAGACAAGGCAACTGCAAAATGACTGTGGGTTGCTATTCCCTTTTCTAGGGGGATCTTCTTGACCAGAGAGTGAACCTGCATCTCCTGCATTGGCAGGTAGATTCTTCATCACTGAGCCACTCGGGAAGACCATTAGTTTGCTCGGGCTGTGGTAACAAACGACCACAAACTTGGTGGCTTAATGAAAATGTATTGTCTCGACATTCTGGAGGTCAGAGCTCAAAAGAAAGACGTTGGTAAGGCTGGTTCCTCCCGAGGGCAGTGCGGGAAGCCTCTCTACAAGCTTACAGAAGGCTGTCTTCACAAACACACGGCATTCCGTTATTCATCTGTCACCACATTTCCCCATTTTTCAAGGACACAGCTCAACTAGGAGAAGGCCCACTGTAATAAACTCATTATAACTTGATTATATCTATTAAGACTTTATCACCAAGTAAATTTGCCGGAGGAGCAGCTGCTGCATGGTGCAGGAGCGGCCAAGAGGAAATACCCCATGTCCAAGGTCAGGAGTAGCGGCTGTGCTTTGCTGGAGCAGTTGAGAAGGGATACCCCACGTTAAATGTAAGAGAAACACAAGTAAGATGGTAGACGCTGCGAGAGGGCATCAGAGGGCAGACAGACTGAAACTACAATCACAGACAACTAGCCAATCTGATCTCACGGACCACAGCCTTGTCTAACTTAATGAAACCAAGCCATGCTGTGTGGGGCCACCCTAGACAGGGTCATGGGGAGAGGTCTGATAAAATGTGGTCCACTGGAGAAGGGAATGGCAAACCACTTCAGTATTCTTGCCTTGAGAACCCCATGAACAGTATGAGAAGGCAAAATGATAG